GTGGTATAGAGCATGTGGCCTTTCATTGGACTCTGGTGACGTTGTTCATGTGAAAAGAGGACTCGATACGCTATTGAAATCTAGTGCTGAGCGGAATGATGGTCTTGCTGAATACTTTCAAAACGTGTGCCCCCTGAGACTACATTGTTACGAACCACGCCACCAATTGTCATGATTTACCTACCCAGCACTACGAACCACGCCATCTATTGTCCTGATCTACCTACCCAGCACCACGAGCAACGCCATCTAGGGACGAAACTCGAGTATGACTACTCTTAGTTACCACTCCGGGGTTTCCCTTCTCCATATCCTGGTTGTTGCGTCACCTCCTCAAAGTCTTCCTCGTCAGCTCCAGTTCGATGAGAGTTCAGTTCACTCTGGGAAGTGACCACAGGATCACCTATCCTGGAAACCTACGGCACAGTGACTACCTACCGTCTTCTACAATACTCAGCCTTACTCGTCAGCCATCTCAGCTCCGCACTTAAGTATTTGTAATCTTATATTGCCTCCCCGCCTCCACCTTGCTTCAAATTATTGTATGTTGTATAAATATGTATATATTGTTAATGTTTAGGTTAAGTATGGTTAAGGGTAAATTATAGAAAGCTGAATATTTTGTTAAGGAATTTATGGTACTTTATTATACACAACAAAAACTCGCATCCTTTGTCTACCCTTTTATAGTCCGATTGTCTTTGTTCTTTTATTGTTGTTGCCTGTTGGGATCTGGGTAGACTTTTAACTATATTCTAAATCCCCAACTCGTAACAACATGCTTTGTGCAGCAGGATTACACACGTCCCAGTAGCATCAAGGTATATGTAAAGTCAGTACGTGATGATGCCACACAGAAACTTGCTGCCCCTACCACTTCAACTCCAAGACTTCGTTCATCACTACTAAAATTCAGTTTAAATAGAGATTGCACGTTCTGTGGAGAGAAGCAACAATTGATAAAAAAACAGCACTGAAGAGCAGAAAAGTAGTACTTGAAGTGAGGACACTGAGATTCCAAGACACCATCAGATGCAGAGCAATTAAACGCAATGACTATAAAGGTGAAATTATCCTCGAAAGATTTGACAATGCTATAGCTCTCGTTGCTGCAGAAGCACGGTACCACAGTATGTGTTGTTTGGAATTCTGTAAAAAACAAACATCTGACCTGAAGCATTAGCAAGCCTGGTCGACCAGAGGACACTCTAAAAGCACATGCATTTGCTGGGCTTTGTGACTATCTGGACAATGATGAAGAATGCCAGTACTCACTCAGTGAGCTACATCACATTATGTCCCAGTTTATCAATAATGAAGAAGGCCGCACATTAAAACACCTCAAGCGAAAGTAAGAACAAAAGTAACTCTGTTATCATGACCCAGCTGACAGGCAAAAGTTGCATCTTCAGCTTCTGTAACAATGCAAGCAACATTATGTATGACAGCTGGTACAATGAAAGATACAAAAACATGGACGATGAAGGGAAGAGGATCGTAGAGGCAGCAGCTGCTATTGTATGGGAGGATATTCAGATGAAAGTGTATGACTGTGATTCATATCCTTCACATACAATTTTTGAAGATGACCTTACTCCAGCAACATTGAGTTGCTTTATCGACTCTGCTGTACAACCACACAAGACAGACTTAGTTTCTGCTATGCGCAAGTGCCATGCAATAAAGCAGGCCATCATAGCTGCCACCAGACCACGGTCATACATCTCACCACTGCTTCTCAGCATTGCTGTGTTTATGCACAAAAGTATAGGTCCAGGGAGCTCATTCATATACTGCACAGTGCACAACATAGGAGTTTGCTCTAACTACAAGGAAGTCCAACGGTATGAATATTCTCTGATTGCAAATGGCCTCTCCTCTCATGAACTCGGTGGATTTTTGCAGTTTGTGTTTGACAATGCTGATTTCAATGTTAATATACGGGATGGGCACAGTACTTTACACGCATTGCAGCATTGCGTCGAGTCATAGATCCCCAAAGGCTTAAGTCTTGGCTTCTTCTGGAAAAATGGAAGTGAAAACTTATAAATGCCCTCCTACTTCAGGCCTGAACACCGCCATAGTCAAGGATATTACCAATGCCCCTGAACCACTGTCGCTAGACACTGCACCACCAGTAGATATAGAGGAGACTGATGAAGAAAATACCTAAAGGGATTTTGCAGATACCATGGGTACATTCATGGTGTGCTTCCATGTTCTCATGAATTAACATGTTATATGGCTTACAGGGTTATTTTTGGTTATTACCTATTTTTTATTAGTTACAGAACTATATGTAATAGAAATATTACTCATAGTTATACAGGGTGATTCAGCAAAGAGTACATTAAATTGGAGGATGAAATCCTTGAATAATTCTAAACCACAATGTCTCTATGGTAAAATGTCAGATTCTGCATAGTTTCCATGTTACAATACATTTAGGATGTTGTATTATTGAGAGTAAATTGGAAGATGCCGGAAAACCAGAATTTTGAAGTGAGACAGGTTGTATGAGTATGGAAACACAGAAGAAGGCAGAGCATTCCACAATCCGGATAGCTTCAAACATAGGTTGGATGGATATATATAAGCAACAGGGGTTGGGTGTAAATGGGAATGCCCAGTATGGGCAGTTTCCTCCATTCTTATGTTCTTATGTTGACTGTGTGAGGAAAGAAGGATGTACTATAACGGGTTATTCTAGTGTGACCGACATCCACAGAGAAACGGTGGGCACTGCAGGCAAGACGAGTTTTACGAGCCCACGGCCTTGCCGGCGGTACACAGGATGCCAAATCCACCGAACATTGCCCGTTAAAGTACCTGTAAAAGAGAAAGAGTGAAGCAACATTGCGGCGAAGAGAAAGGGAAGAAAAATTATCAACTAATTGAATTGAAATTGAATTGAAACAGTTTATATAGCCAGAAAAACACAGATACAGAGTGGATAATAATAACAATATTAACATGGTAAGGCAGTTGAGAACCTGAGTTCTCCTGTAGGCACGAGTAGGAGGAGAGTCAAAAAGATGAAATGCCCTTGATTCCACCCTATCTAACAGTTGGACAGAAGAAGAGCCACCCAAGATATGAGAGCAGTATTCCAACTTGAAGCAACTGCTCAGTAGTGAAGTATCTACGGTATCTGTACAGCATTCGCAGCTTTCGGGAGGCGGCTTTAGCAATGTTGTGGATGTGTGGCGTCCATGACATATGAGGAGGAAATGGTAAGCCCTAGCATATCTTTTTAGAATTTGGCAGAATGATTGCGTCCTGAAATGTGATCATCTAATTTGGAAAACGTAATAGGTAAATACTGAGTTTTATTACAATTGAATTTAACCAAGTTTCTACCTCCCCATTCGGAGATGCTGCACAGATGCTCATTGATAGATGAAATGATATCAGCTCTAGAAACAGATCTAGTTTGAGAATTAGGGGGAAGGAAAAATGTGGGGAAGAGTGAAGAGAAGAATTATCACCGTAAGAATGGATAGAATTAGTCGTAGTGTAAAGTACATCATTGATAAAAAGAAGGAAGAGAGTAGGTGAAAGAACAGAACCCTGTGGGACACCACTATTGGTAGAGAAAGAGCTAGAGATAGATCCCTCGACAACAACTGCCATGGATCGGTTCTCAAGGAAGCTAGAAATTAGAGAACCAAATGGAGGGAGAGAAACCATAAGAGGGAAGTTTAAAAAGCAAAGACTTGTGCCATACCCTGTCAAATGCTTTGGAGATGTCGAGGGCCACAGCGAAAGTTTCCCCATAATCTCTAAGAGAAGATAACCAAAGATGGGTGCAGTAGGAGAGCAGATCACCAGTAGGACTCGCCTGGCGAAAGACATATTAGTGATCCGGCAAAAGTGAAAAGCGTTCAAGGTGACGGAGAAAATGAGAGTTTAAGATAGTTACGAAAATATTAGAGAGGGATGAAGTTTGGGCAATGGAACGATAGTTAGAGGAATTGGAATGGTTACCCTTCTTCGGGATGGGCTGAACCGAGGCGTGCTTCCAAGAAGAAGGAAAAGTTTGTGTTTTGAGGCAAAGGCGAAGGAGACGAGCAAGCACAGGGGTTAGAATGTCAGCACACTCCATCAGAACACAAGGGGGTATTCCGTCCGGTCCATTCGTCTTGCTCACATCCAATATGGACAACACACCAGCAACCCTACGAGTGGAGATTACAGGAAAGTGCACAGGTTCAGTAGGAGGAGCAGGGGTAGGAGGGATAGAGTTGGAATCGTCTAAGAAGGAGTTAAAGGAGAATAAGGTGCCAAAGAGATTGGCTTTATCTCTCTCCATACATGCAAGATAACAGGAGCGATCAAACCATGATTTTGGTAGAAGATGGGATAAATGCACTCATACCAACCTGTATAATCCCAGCAATGCTGTCAGCACATACCGAGGCATCCCGAGTAGAAAAGCAACATTCATCCCAAGGAAAGTCGGAGAAGAATTCGCGCAAGGATTGCCAGTTAGCCCTCCGATAGTGACATAGTTGGCGTTTAGAGGGGGGTGGGGGAGGTGGTAGTGCCCAGTTTGATTTAATAGAAATAAGATTGTAATTAGAAGACCCCAAGGTGGCAGAAACTGAGTATGGATAGTGTGAGGGGTCAGAGGTAAAACAAAAATCAAGAATGTTAGTAAGTTGATCGTGTCGATCAGGAACACGTGTAGGGTGTTTAATTGATTGTTCCAGATCAATAAGTAAGGAAAAAGAGAGTGCCTCAGCTCCACCTGGGTCATACCTTGCAGAGCCAAGCCACTCTCTGTGATGTACATTGAGATCCCCTAGGTAGAGGATCTCGGAGTTGGGGTGTGTGGATAGCAACGACTCATGGCAAAAAGTGAGATAGTCAAAGAGTTCGAAATAGTTGGTAGAGTTGGGAGAACAGTATAGAAAACAAAGAAAAATAGTCATGGATGGTAGAGATATTTTGAGCCAGATGACATCATGCAGAAAAGATTCAAGAGCCGTGAGTCGAGCTATAGTTGTACGTGTGTTGCAGTAGGCGCATACACCTCCCTTAGAACGGAAAGAGGTATAAAAGCTGTAGTTGGAGACTTGAAAAGGCTTAGGTTTGTCATGACAACCCAATATCACCATCACATCGCCATCAGTTGCCATGACAACCCAACATCATCATCATATCACCATCAGTTGCCATGACAACTCACCATCACTTCACCATCAGTTGCCATGACACTCGAACATCACCATCAGTTACCATGACAACCAAACATCATCATCACATCAGTTGCCACACTACCCAACATCACTATCACATTTCTATCACAACTTTATTCATAATGTACTGTATATATAAATTCTTATTTTATCATTAATCTATTTGTCTTTGTACACATTCCTTCGTTCACATGTGTCCTGTAAAGGGTTTATAGGAGTAATGGTGAAACAGATGGTGATGACAGTGAAGGTGGTAGTAGTGAGGAAGTTAGTGATGGTGGTGGTAAGAAAGATGGTGATGATGATAATATGATGATGTTGATGATGATTTGGGAAATGGTGGTGGTTAGGAAGATGACGATGACGGTGAGTAAGGTAGTCATGATTGTGAAAAACAATACTGGGAATGATGAGAAAGACCTTTATGATGGTAACGAAGAATGTGAGGATGGTAAGGAAATGGTGAAAGAAATGGTGATGATTTTAAGTTGGTGAATATGATGGTGATAGATGAAGCATATGACTTCATGGTGAACTTCTTGTGATAGTAAATAATATGGTAAGAGAAGGAGAGGAAGATGGTGGTGACGGTAAGTAAGATTGTGATGGCGAAAGGAGATGTTGATTACGATGGTGAGGCCGATGGAGAAGATGCTAATCCGCGCACTTGAGGAGATCAATAATATGACTTTCCGCCCGTCGACGATGATGAGTTAGATGCTGCCGAAGGACTTGAAGGTAGAGTGAGGGGCACCAGGTTGACCATTTGCGCTCCTACAGGCATGAAGGGACTGAGGTAGTGTGTGAGGAGAGGGGCAGTGAACCTCTTCCACAAATCCTGCACCTCTAGGTCGCGCTCAGTGCTCGGTGACGCTCCTACTACCGGCGTCCCCCTCTTGAGGAAATGCCTGACAGAGGGAGAATTATATAAAACAGAAGAATATACAAAATGGGGCGTTATTCTTTTGTTTACTTAATAATAGTCACGCTAAAACGGAGGTTACATCACGGGCTCAAAGTTGACATGGCATTGATTTTTCGTCTCTCAGAAACTTTATTATAAACATCTTTAGTAGCTATGTTTTCACACACACACACATGTATGTGGAGGCCAAGATGGTGACTTGTATGATGACTTACGTGTATCTGGAGATCGGGGTGCCAACAACTAGCAGGGTAGCATTCTGATAGTGAAGTCGCCAGCTGTAATGGTGACTGTCCCGTGCGTCACCACTCCACACACCCAATTTCTGTGGGACGGGAGAGATAAGAGAGAGAAGCGTAAGGAGACATCAGATACACTAAATGTTGAATGTTACTCGTAAGTGAAGTTATAAAAATACAACTAACTAACTGACTTGAACTAAATCCTAAAATTCCCCCCCAAAGTAACATCAAAACTACACTGAGACTATCTTAACTGCTTACGTGTACTTCACGTCTGACAAAATTAGGGAACTGGGTTTTCCCCATAAATCCTGTACTGTAACTTTGTGTCGTGTAACTGGAATTAAAGTAGTTTCAGGGTTGTTTTGGTGTTATTTTGGGATGTTTTTTGTGTCTTATATAAAATAATTAGATGCATTTTTACGTCATCACTAGCGATAAATATTCACTGTACGAACCTTTGTGACTGGACTAAATTTCCATATATTTCTTGTATTATATTTGACGATTTTAACTTATTTTCATAAAATAACAATTATTTAGATAAGTATACTATAAACGATAAATGGATATTGTAGTGGACGTCTCCCCTACAAACTGCGTAGGTGCATCCCACCTGCGCCGCTTTCCTTAGCAACCAAACGAGCGGCGTCACCAGATGCGCCGCCGTATCCTAGCAACAGAGCCAAAGACAGGTTACTTCTCGGGTTTTCCCAACATGACTCATAGAGGACTCGCGACTGCTGGGTATATAAGCTCTGTCTCTCCACTGAGATTCATTCTAGCCTCTCTTCTACAACAAGCAACACCTCCTCCTCCGCCGCTGCCTGGCGGCCCTAGCCTCTCCTCCGCCTGCCTGGCGGTCCTCGCTCCCGCCAGCGAGCATGGCGACCCACCAACTGTCCTTCTCTGAGCTTCCTCACCAACCGGCTCTCATTTTGCCCATCTTCCTGAACAAGCAACACCTCCTCCAGCAAGCTCCACTCTGTCAGCATTCATTCAACCAGGAGGCCAGCAACAGGCAACATCTTCTCTAACGAAGCTCCTGCACATCTACCTCCTTCAACACGCTACTCACAGAACGTCTCTACTGAGCAGCTCCTCACCACACGGCACCTCCAGCACCAGACTGTCTATCATATAACTTATATTATACAAGAAAACCACATTAGAGTTTCCATCCATCCTGACTGCTAGACAACATTATACCACGATACCCCTACAATATCATCATTACAAATTTATCTAACCTCAAGTAACTTGTTTCAGGTATAATTTGATTACGTTAAGACACCGAAAGACGTCATAAGAAATGACTATAAAAGCATTAATTTCTATGGAGGTATAACAATTATGAAATCAATTATTTGTGTTTCAAAGCGTCATCTTACGATTGTCACTAAAATGACGACAATAATATAATTAAGAATTTTTGACAAACAGGTACGAAGACTGCAAGCGACTCACATCCCCAATGTCCCTGAAGGCGAGGGTGTCCTTGTCGCTCTTCATATCGGCAGAGATCACGTACACGCCACCCTGGAAGTAAGGAGAGTTGATAACCTGAGTGATATAACATGTACAGTATATCGCTCTCTCCTTCCCATGTTCTTCAGCCTATGGACGCGGGGGACTTAATCCCTCAATCTTATTTCTTTTACGCTACAGACACTGGGAACTATAACCTTACTGACAACTTACTCTCACTCCCTCTGCCTCCAATTGTAAACCTATCCCCACTCCTTACTTCACATGAGGTCATAGTTTCTAGGCCACAAGTGACTGTTGAGAAGTAGTTAAAGAGATTTCTGGGCTAGTACTCCCCCTCCCCATTAAAACTGAGGGGTTAGAGAACACACCCAGTGATGAAATAGTCTCAGTATTATTTCGTCTTCATTTTGGCAGCCAGCTTTATGTAGTAGTTGAATGAACTAGGTAGATGCGCTTCTACACCTCCAACTTAAGTGAACCAGAGAGACAGATTCACACATTCCATATTAGCGGAAACTGATTGTGAGAAGGTCAGAGAAACTAGTAATATATAAAACCAGACAATGTGATGTAGTCATGGCCAGGATTAAGCTAGGATACAGACACATCTGGCAAGTTAGTGATGCTGTATCCATACCAGAGCACTCAGCATGTAAACTTTGTGATAAACCTTTAAAGCATACACTTGAACACTATATTATTGAATGTGACACTGTCAAAGACTTCACGCCACCTGGCTTATTGTATCATTGAATTAGGAGTGCTTGAGGACATTCTTGCTGTTTATCCAAAATTGGCTAGCCCACACTGATTAGTCCTCAAATTGAAAATGACTTCTACTGTATTGAACCACTGTCCTTTGTGGCAGTGAACAGTGATATCACCCACATGACTCTGACCTATATATACTTTTAATGAATATGATCTATTTAGATTTCTTTGTGTATGAACCTCTGTCCTGCGTGACTGAATTACTCAGAATAGGCAAATAGTACTCCAAGATTTGCCAATGTAAGGGCGGAAACGACCTTCCTGCTCGTTACCGCTGCTAAATCTCTCGTTTGCTGGTGAGACCAACACTTGGGGGGGTGGACAGAGGTGAGAACGGCAGCATCTACCTGTGTCACAGGCAGATCCTGCTCAGCCGTGAGTGCAGTCACTACCTTCCCCAGCTGTTCGTCAAATTCTGGCTGTGATCTCATCAAGGCTCGGGACTCGTGGGCTGTGTCCCCAGACCTTCACCTATCGACTGTCAATTCTCTGGTCATCTACCACTACCCCATACCACGACCGTCAGTTCATCTCCTCCGTCTGTGCCCCGGTGTTCTCCTGCCATATCAAGACATCTGCCGCTGTCTCTCGAGTGTGGAGTTGAATGGATGCTTCCCCCTGAGTGTGGATCACAGTGTTCCAGAACCTTCCCCAGGGCCACTGTCGTAGGAAATATCTGTTCATTGTTTGATTCTACTGTTTGATTCCTTTAATTGCTGACTCCCTTCTATTGTTTGATTCTATCAGTTGTTGACTCCCATTAATTGTTTTATTCCATTAATTGTTTGATTCCATTAATTGTTTGATTCTATTAATTGCTGACTCCCATTAATTGTTTGCTTCCCTTTAATTTTTTGCTTCCTTTAATTGTTTGCTTCCCTTAATTGTTTGACTCCATTAACTGTTTACTGTATTAATTGTGACTCCCGTAATTGTTACTTGATGCTTGTTGAGTGGTATCAGAGTTTTGTGTTATATTTTTTATAGTAAAGAGATGTCAATCTCAAACAGTCGTTTGTTATTCCTCAGAAAATCATGATCCTTGACTTTCCTTTATTAAGATCCTGATTAGTCTGGTAAGGGATTTCTATCCCTAAGTCCCAGGCCCTTTACAAGTGGTGACCTTGCCAGGATTGTCTCTGACCTTTGGTTTCTGAGGGCTAACATTCGTTCCAGTGTTGTTGTAAGTCGCCGTGTGCGCGCCGCTTGCTGTCTGTGGCCCGTAAGTAAGTGTTGTTCAGTGCTTATCCCTTCCTTCTGTTGTGCTAATTTTTGTTGCTCTCCCTTGTACTTGGGGAAGTTAATTAGTGTTGGTTGGGGTGCACTGTGGATGCTGTCAGAGCATTTTTGTTGTTGTTTCACCTGGTGCGGTTTCTTTATCCTGAGGTGATTCCACTGGGCTGGGTGTGAAACAAGGTTTCCTCCAGTCGGATCAAATCATTTATTGGTTTGATTGAGCCACTAGGTAAGTTATCTTTGGCTATTTGCGGGGTAAGTTGTGTATTTTTCTTTTTGCTCTTGGCCTTTCGGATCATTATGCATAGATTTGAGGAGTTGAAAGGTCAAGAGGTGGCCTTGGGTCTGACAGGTACTGAGGTTAGTCAGTATATGCCGAGAGAAAGGAACGTCAGAAAGCGAGAGAGGAACTTCAGAAAAAGAGAGAGTTGGAGGAACGTCAGAAAGAAAGAGAGATGGAGGAACGTCAGAGAGATGGAGAAAGAGAGGTCGAATTAGCTAAGTTGCAGGCAGAAAAGGACCTAGAACTAGCTAGGATTAATGATTCAAATAGACCAGAATCCTCTGGCTATATACAAGACAGTGTGGTAAAACCCAGCTTGCCTGTGTACCGTGAAGGAGAAGACATTGCCTCCTACCTTGTTAGGTTTGAACAGGTAACTGAGCTGCTTGGTGTGGACCCAGATAGCTATGCTGTAAGGTTGGGTAGCCTACTGGGTGGTAAGCCGGTAGAGATTTACGCGTCCCTGTCTGCCGACATCACCAGAGATTACTTCTTGTTGAAGCAAGCTCTCTTGCGAGGATTTAACAAGACTTCTGACGGTTATCGTGTTGATTTTTGCAGAACGAAGATTAGAGCGGGAGAAACGTACCAGCAGTTTTCGATTCACCTGGGTCGTTTGTTTCAACAATGGCTAGAGGCATGAGAGGTTGAAGAAACATTAGAGTCTCTCTCTAACTTCATGATATTAGATCAGTTTTTGTCTTCTCTACCTCCAGACTTGAGAATTTTCATCAAAGAACACCAGCCAGCGACGCTTGGAGAAGCTGTTCGTCTTGCCGACAACTGGGCGTCTGCTCGCAACGCCTACCCTAAGTCTTCCCCTCCTGTAGTGAAGATTGCGAAGCCTCCGTCCTCCGAGGAACCATCCCCAGGAGTACACAGGAGTAGTTCACCAGCCGTGAAGTGTCACAGCTGCAGAGAAGAAGGGCACATTCGTTCTCGCTGCCCCAGGAATCTCCTCGCCTTCAAGACTGCTGACACTCATCAGCCCAGCCACAAAGTCGGATTCTGTTTGGAAGGCAGGAGCTACCCCCGTTATTGTGTCAGTGGAACAATAAATGGGTCTAGGGCATTTACTTTCATCAGGGACACTGGTTGCTCGTGCATTATTGTCTTTGAGGAAGCCCTGCCTGACGCTGACATCTCTAGCTGCCCGAAGGTTAGTGTCGCCGATTATTTAGGTCGTGTTGGCCAGTTCCCTGTTGTTAGGTGCTACCTGCGTTGCCCCTATTTCACTGGTTGGTCTAATGTGATAAGAGTTCCCATTAAATTTGCTAGTGTCCTCATTGGTAATGTTCCCGGTGTTCGTGACCCTAACGACCCGGAACCTTTAAAACTCTCCACGCCACCAGCACCAGTCTCCTCGCCACCAGCACCAGTCTCCTCGCCACCAGCACCACCCTCCTCGCCACCTGCCGACAACGACTCGTCACCTGCCGGCGTCACATCGCCACCCTCACACGCCACCACACCTCCAGCAAGGGTCCAAGCTGTGGAGACACGGTCGGCGAAAGTGAAACGACCGCATCCCCTGGTTCTGCCGAATTTGTTGCCACTGACTGTGACTCCCAGGGAGTTCGCCAAGCTTCAAAACTCGTGTGCCACTCTGAAACGGGTTAGGGAGAAGGTGACTTCCGGGGAGGGGGATCAGGTGAGATGGGTCGGTTTTCAAGTTTGTTTCTATTAATGGGGTGTCACACAGGTCTTGTGTGTCATCCAAGCGACCAGCCAATGTAGGTCGGTTTTACTTGTTGTCCCTGCTGTTTGTCGCAGTAACATTCTCTCTGTAGCTCACAAGAGCCCTCTAGCAAGACACTGTCCTCGTAGGAAAACTTATAGGAAGTTTGCTGATCAGTTTTACTAGCCAGGTATGGGAGCGGATATTAGAGCTTTTTGTAGGAGTTGTGATCAGTGCCCCCGTATGTCCGCCAAGGGTAGAGTCCGTCCTATTCCACTTGAACCCTTACCCGTCATTGCAGAACCATCTTCTCGGGTAGCCATAGATTTTGTTGGACCGTTTTCACCCCCCTTCCTCTAAGAAGGCTAAATTACACCAAGCTAATTTGTTAAGGCAATATAATTGCAGGACCCACATTGCTCGTGTCCTTGACGACGTTCCCAAGCTGGAGATAGTCGAGACACTACCCTGCAAAAGTTTCTGTGAAGTTCGGGCGCCAGACTCTGATGATCTCAGTTGCCAATTGCTGATAACATCTGACGAGATAGAAGAATCCTCTACGACTGGAAATAGGCCCAAACGTAAACCTGGACTGAAGTGGACCCCACGTGCAGTTCCTTGATACGGCCTTACGTTTTGGACATCAAGTTCCACCTATTCTTTTATAAGACCCTTCTTTATTTTGATATGTGTATTTAATCATTTGTTGTAAGATGATTATGCTTTGTGTACTAATCTTAAGTTTTAATCTACCTTACAGTAGATTTTTGTTGGGGGAGCTGTGTAAGGGCGGAAACGATCTTTCTGCTCGTTACCGCGTCTAACTCTCTCGTTTGCTGGTGCGACCAACACTTGGAGGGGGGGGGGGGTGGACAGAGGTGAGAACGGCAGCGTCTACCTGTGTCACAAGCAGATCCTGCTCAGCCGTGAGTGCATTCACTACCTTCCTCCGCTGTTTGTCAAATTCTGGCTGTGATCTCATCAGGGCTTAGGACACGTGGGCTGTGTCCCCAGCCCTTCACCTATCGACTGTCAATTCTCTGGTCATCTACCACTACCCCATACAACGACCGTCAGTTCATCTCCTCCGTCTGTGCCCCGGTGTTCTCCTGCCATATCAAGACATCTGCCGCTGTCGCTCGAGTGTGGAGTTGAATGGACGCTTCCCCCTGAGTGTGGATCACCGTGTTCCAGAACCTTCCCCAGGGCCACTGTCGTAGGAAATATCTGTTCATTGTTTGATTCTACTGTTTGATTCCTTAAATTGCTGACTCCCTTCTATTGTTTGATTCTATCAGTTGTTGACTCCCATTAATTGTTTTATTCCATTAATTGTTTGATTCTATTAATTGCTGACTCCCTTTAATTGTTTGCTTCCTTTAATTGTTTGCTTCCCTTAATTGTTTGACTCCATTAACTGTTTACTGCATTAATTGTTTGACTCCCGTAATTGTTACCTGATGCTTGTTGAGTGGTGTCAGAGTTTTGTGTTATATTTTTTATAGTAAAGAGATGTCAATCTCAAACGGTTGTTTGTTATTCCTCAGAAAACCATGGTCCTTGACTTTCCTTTATTAAGATCCTGATTAGCCTGGTAAGGGATTTCTACCCCTAAGTCCCAGGCCCTTACAGCCAATAAATTTGTTAACCGTAAAATTGTAATATATAATAAGGGATTTATTTACTGTCAAATGATGCTAAAATTCACAATGCATAAATTCAGTGTATGAGCAAATGTGTATATATATGTCTACTTGTTGATTACTTTCACTACTGTACTTCTTTCTCTTATTCTTTGAAGCTTCTGTACCACCTGATCCCCTCGTACAAAAGCGAGAGAAAAGTAAAGATAATAATATACCGAGACAGGTAGACACTAAGTCTTTTGATCTTACAGGTGAAAACTGTATCTTGTTGTCCGCCAGGTCGTCTACATGTAACGGGACGGCGGCCCTCAGCAGCGACACCATCTCCCTCTCGTACTCCTCTTGTAGCAGCCTGCAACACATCCAAACTAAAGTTTAACTATCGTGTTCACGTGCAGTACAGTGTAATTACTATACAGGGATGATACAGTACAATGCAAACCTTGGCCTCGATCCGATGCCATGGAAGAGTGAATGTAAAACTAGTGTAATGTAATGTCAGTTTATGTAATTACTGCTGGAGACTGTCTCATATCATCGATTTCTTTAACACACACACACACACACACACAAAATAACGCTGAGATCATTTCGCGAACCGTTTCCATGACTTCACTCGGTCACTGTTGGTGAGATTTGCACCAAATGTTTATCATGTGGACCTTGTCACATTAAACCGACCAAATTTGGTGCAAATCCGCAAACCTGTTCTCGAGTTATTTTTGGGACACTCAGACAGGAAAGACCGAAATCAATACCCTGACTCACAGCTGCAGGCGGGATAATAATATCTGTAGTACAGAAAAAAACGCTGCACGTTACTGTGTTGTATTAATGACTGTAATCACTTTATCAAACTTGTACTGTACTGTGCTGTATCAATGCCTTAATTAGGATTTCTCTGTTATGATACAACGATCTTTATTAATTACTACAAATCACCTTAGAAAAATACATGTGTACATAAAAAGTATGAGCGTAACCGAGCGAACCTCTATTAATTATCACCATTAAGATCACCCACCTTATTTACCTAATGGCCACCCACTAGAGGTGGTCATGCCGACGGAAGGAGGCCAGTAGCCTGTGTAGGATTCCTTCACTGTTCAAGATAGTTTTGTCAAGGGCTATTTTGAAGCCCAGTCCTCTTCTTGATTACACAGCAATGGCCATTTCATCTAATGATATCACAGCTAACCTTTCAAGTGGACTAAAAGTGTCAGACTTTGTTTTATTGAATGACAGCACAGAGTGTAAAGTGCCAGGCTCGCATGCAAAGTTCTTGGCTTGTTCATTAAACGTTGTTTTACTCGCCAAAGGAATTCCCTTTTTAGTTCTCAAATATTCATAACATTTAGGACTCGTGCTTCTCAAAGTTAATATTATAGTGATTGCCTCAGACAGTGCTGTGTACACACAAATGGCCCGGGTAAGACTGGGATCAACTTGTCAAGTAAAAGGAGACGCAGGCAGAGTGGATCATCTGAAATCATCACTCCCGCCCGCCTCGGACCTCACCTGTGCGCCGTCCGACCTTTCTAACATCATGGAGGTATAGTAGGGTATATCTCCATGCTCTACATAGACCTTGGTCTGGCCGAACGCTTTGTTATTCACACTTGCGTGAGAGGTATTCAAGCACATTGTGTGAGATGTGTCCTATTGTGTCTTGTCTTAAGGGTTGTTAATCCTAAGGCCCCCAGTCTACTTGGATAATCGAGATGACAGTTCCGGAATCATCCTAGTTTTTCTGTGTTGCACCTTTTCTCGGGATGGTAGATCTTTCTGGAGGCAGAGTATTCATGCCTGTATACATTAATCCAGACCGGGACGTACTTAAGATTTGTACAGTTGAAGAAGCATTTTCCTATTTTTTCATTCAAAAGTACGCTTTCTAATTCTCAGATTTCGATTTGCTTTTCCTTCTTGTTGCTGTGCCTTCGTTAAATGATCTATCACAACGCCAAGATCTTTCTCCTTGTTGACATCATCCAGGAAAGTGTTATTAACAGAATATTTGTGATTAGGGTTGTTGTATCCAACGTGTAGGGTCTTGTATTTCGCAATGTTAAAAAACTACTCTCCCAATTATATTCGTTTCAGCCGCTAACTTGATAATGTGGGGCGATATATTTTCATCTATGTTGCTTACGTAGGTCAAAAAAAGGGTGGGTCCAAGAATAGAGCCTTGAGGTACTCTATTGAGAGCCCCTTTCTATTCAAAATGTACTTCATTTATTACCACTCTTTGTTCCGTGTCTTCGAGTTAATTGTTAACCCACTTCAATATCTTGCCTATGATGCGATGTGCCTAGATCTTAGAGGCTAGTCGTGCATGTGGGACTGGTCACACGCCTTGGAGAAATCTATGTACAAAACATCCACTGGTGAGCCTTGGTCCACGTAGTCTGTTACCGTTTCAAGGGACGTAAGTTTTTCAGACAGGATTTTCTTTCGATGAAACCGTGTTGTGGTGCGTTGATAAGACTGTATTCGGTCAGGTGTTGAATGATGGTGTCCCACAGAATTTTCTCAAAAAGTTTGCTGATCGGCATGTAGTTTTCCGCTGCACTTTTCCTACTCTTCTTGTATACTTGTGTGACGTTGGCTAATTTTCAGTCTCTATGCGCTTTCCAGAATAAGAGTCTTATTTGGGTGCAAATCTCGTTTTTCTTACCTATATCCTCTTCACCACTAATCGGCTCGTTAGCCGCTTGGGCTGGCGGCCACGTCTCTGTTACGCACTGTTGGCAAGTACTGGGCTTGCACGGGCTCTTGTATGTATCTGAAGCTGCTCCAGTGGCGTCAAGTCTGGTCTTGAAAGAGCTCACAATCGGTGCCGTCACAACACTCTTTGGCAGGTTGTTCTAAGAGTTTACAATTCTCACTCTGAAAAAGTTTGCCCTCACAGTTTTCTGGACTTGTGGCTTCTTCAACCTTGAGCTGTGAACCCTTGTGGGGCGGGCGTCCACCAGCTCTAGGTATATGGACACTCGACTGAGTAGTGCCCTTTGAGATGATTATGCACCCCAATTAGGTAGCCCCATGCCCGTCTGCAGTATAAGCTAGGCAGATGCAGGCGCTCTAATCTCTGTGGGGCCCTCCTTTGGACATTTTCAATCAACTGACAGTCCCTAGCATATCTCGGAGACCAGACGAGATGACAGTATTCCAGGAGGGGAAGCACTTCACTTCTTTAAAATCGTTACGAGGGATCGTCTAGATATCTAAACTTCTCACAATGGCCCAAGAACTTAAGTTCATTGTCAATGTACACACCCAGGTTCGTTTCGCATTCGGTCTCTATTAATACAGTTTCTCCGTCCCGTTGGGACATGTGCTACTCCTTCTTACCGTTGGTACGACCCATGTGCACCCTCTTACAATTCGTGACGTTGAATCTTAGCAGCCATTTCTTCGACCACTCTTGAAACTCAGAGAGATTATTCTGCAGCTTTTCATAGTCTGTTTGATTCTTAATTTCCCTGAATATCTTGGCATCATCCGCAAACATTTGTATGAAAAAGTGTACAGCTACCTGTAGGTAATTTATGAAACAAATAAACAACAAAGGGCCCAATACACTGCCCTGTGTTACCCCGCTTGTCACAGGTACATATGACGATTTCGAACCAATAATCACCACACACTGCTTGCGATCATGCACAAATTCTCCGATCTACGCTAGGACACTTCCCCGAATCCCGTACCCTTCCTTTTAATTCTCAGCCTTTCATGCGGTACGCTGTCGAAAGCCTTGCATCTTTTATCACCATGGTCTGTGCTCCGTCCACTCCAGGGGATTAAATTCTTTCAAACTGGCTACTTTCCTTTTGATGATGATTTCGTCTGTAATTGCTATCTCTCTTAATTTATTTTCCACCTCTGAGGTATACTGTACATTCTCTTAGGCACTGGCATGTTATCCATAGTTTTTTTTTTTACGGGGATTAGCCCACCCTGGCACAGGTCACCGACCCACATCGGGGCCTGGGGGCGAAAATAAAATAACCATATATCAATACAGAAAACAAAACAAAACAGATCACTGGTGAGAAAGGATATGTATGTTGTGTTGTCAAAGTAAGAGAAACAATTGAGACCCTGCAATTGTGTGCAAATAAGGCAGAAAGTCAGATCAGCAACCCGGGACTTGGTCACAATTTTTGTGATGCCTTATGGCAACAGGGTCTGCCATTAGACAACACATTATGCTTCCAATATCTTCCCAGGCGGTAGTGCATCTGTGATTAATGTTGCTATGTATTTATTTAAGGTATCAGTTGTTTGTCTGTCATCCTTCAGGGCCATTTTGTTTTCGTTCTATTCAAGGCCGACAGTATCCTTGGTTTTCATTTTAATCCTGGCATATACATTAAAGGACTTGGGATCTTTCTTAATGTTTTGGGCTAATTTCATTTCGAAGTGCCGTTTGGCTGATCTAATATCCTGATTGGCCACTTCTAGGGCTCTTATGTATACTACATAATCCATCTGCATGATGCCCTGTGCACTGGTATATCTTCCATATTTGGTAATTCCTCTTGCATACTTTCCTAGATCTGTGATTCATCCACCTGGCTTTATCCCTTCTTTGTTTTACAGGTATACATACATTCCTCCACTATTACTATATTGTATTACTAACAACAACTTCAAAATTAGTGTAATAAGGTATACATGGTGGTGAGGCCTCTACTAGCCTGGTGAGGTTGATGAAGGTGATGCTGGCGTGGTGGTTATACGGTCGGGCGAGGTAGTGGTGCTCCGTGGACCAGGAGAGTCTGAGGTGAAGGCCAGATCCCCCTCCGTGGTAAGAGCGGTTCACCTCAGGCACCACACACTCTCTCCTTCCCCTGATGGCGCTCGTGTCCATGAAGTAGTCCCAGTCATGTGTCTGTAGAGGAATGCGAATTCTCAACTGAAAGTGATTTTTTTTTTACGGGGATTAGCCCACCCGGGCACAGATCACTGACCCACATCGGGGCCTAGGGGGCGAAAATGTAATAATAATAATAATAATAATAATAATAATAATAATAATAATAATAATTCATAGTAAATAAAACTTAAAATACAAAATTGAAAATAAATTTGTAAATTAAAATGATAATAATAATAATAATAACACCGTAATAATAATAAAATAATAAAGAAATACAAAAATGAAAAAAAAGATCAAAAGCCAGAAACAATATATGTATGTTGTGTTGTCAATAGTAAGAGAAACAATTGAGACCCTGCAATTGTGTGTAAATGAGGCAATTTTCGTGATACCATATGGCAGCAGGGTCTACCATTAGACAATACAGTATGCTTCCAATATCTTCCCAGCCGGTAGTACCCCCCTGTTTGGTAGCTGCTTACTACCTACTTCCTATGAGTGGTGATGTTTTTATACATAATGATGCATCTAATATATATATATATATATATATATATATATATATATATATATATATATATATATATATATATATATATATATATATATATATATATATATATATACAGTAGAGGAGGGTGAGATCAAGTCCACAATGGTCAGGTATTAGGTAATGACCCTACTAATCTTCAAAAAGCACCGCAACAGTCGGTAGTCAGGTAAGAGGGTAAGATGACCCAACCTTCTCACCTGGTTACAAATCTTCTTAATTACGAAATTATCCAGTTTGTATATACCATAACTCAAATTCATGTTGACGGATTCGGTATGTTTAATGAGACTGGATTCTATAATGTTCCTACTGTCAATTGAATTACAAGGTAATATTGAGGAGGCATTATTCAAATCAATGCAATGCTTATTATCCCTCAAATGAACAAACAGAGCATTGGATTTCTGACCTGTCCTAACACTATATTTATGTCGTTTAAGTCCAGTTACAAGATCTTTACCTGTCTGGCCTAAGTAAAACATATTACATTCCTTGCAAGGAACCTTATAAATGCAGCCGTCTGCATTGTTCAGGGAGTTCTTGATTAACGTTTGTTTTACAATGCATGTGTGTTTGTTTGTTTGTTTGTGTGTGAGGCGTGGTTACAGGACAGGAAACAGCGAGTGAGCATTAACGGCACTAAATCCCATTGGAGCAACGTCACTAGTGGAGTTCCCCAAGGCTCAATACTTGGACCATTATTTTGTATTATATACATAAACGACATAGATATCGGCATAGACAGCAACATAAGTAAATTTGCTGATGACACTAAAATAGGACGTGTTATTAAATCTGCCGAGGACTCCGCAAAACTACAGGAAGATCTGAGCAAATTTTTCGAATGGTCGAAAAATGGCAGATGAAATTCAACGTGGACAAATGTAAAGTACTCAGAATAGGAGATGTAAACAGGGAAACCAGTTACCAGATGAACAACGATGCCATCGTGGAATCCGACTGCGAGAGAGATTTAGGAGTAATGATAAGTAGGAATCTTAAGCCAAGTAAACAGTGTGTTTTTGCTTGTAACAAGGCTAATAAAGTACTTGGGTTCATACAAAGGAGTGTTAGTTACAAGACTAGCGAGGTCATACTAAAATTGTATCTTGCGCTTGTGAGACCACACCTGGATTACGCAGTTCAGTTCTGGTCACCGTATTACAGAATGGATATAGAATCCTTGGAAAGAATTCAGGGGAGAATGACAAGACTAATCCCGGGCATTAGGAACCTTGAGTATAGAGACAGGTTAAAGCATCTTAATTTGCATTCCCTCGAGAGACGTAGAGCGAGGGGCGACCTGATAGAGGTGTATAAATGGAAGTCAGGGCTAAACAAAGGGAACATTACAAAGGTACTCAAACTATCCAACCAGGAGCGAACTCGTAACAATGATTTCAAATTAGACAAATTTAGATTTAGGAGAGAAATAGCTAAACACTGGTTTGGAAACAGAGTCGTGGATGAACGGAACAAGTTACCAAATATCATCATAAACTCGAATACGCTGGATAGCTTCAAACATAGGTTGGATGCTTATATGAGCAATAGGGGTTGGGTGTAAACGGGACTGCCCAGTATGGGCTAATAGGCCCAATGCAGTTTCCATCATTCTTATGTTCTTATGTTCTTATGTATGTCTGCATGAGACTCTCGGAAACTACTATACCGATCTGTAGTGATGATGGATGGTGTTATATGTAGTGATGGTGGATGGTGCTATATGTAGTGATGATGGATGATGTTATATGTAGTGATGATGGATGTTGTTATATGTAGTGATGATGGGTGGTGTTATATGTAGTGATAATGGATGGTGTTATATGTAGTGATGATGGATGGTGTTATATGTAGTGATGATGGATGTTGTTATATGTAGTGATGATGGGTGGTGTTATATGTAGTGATAATGGATGGTGTTATATGTAGTGATGGTGGATGGTGCTATATGTAGTGATGATGGATGATGTTATATGTAGTGATGATGGATGTTGTTATATGTAGTGATGATGGGTGGTGTTATATCTAGTGATAATGGATGGTGTTATATGTAGTGATGGTGGATGGTGCTATATGTAGTGATGATGGATGATGTTTTATGTAGTGATGATGGATGTTGTTATATGTAGTGATGATGGGTGGTGTTATATGTAGTGATAATGGATGGTGTTATATGTAGTGATGATGGATGGTATTATATGTAGTGATGATGGATGGTATTATATGTAGTGATGATGGATGATGTTATATGTAGTGATGATGGGTGGTGTTATATGTAGTGATAATGGATGGTGTTATATGTAGTGATGATGGATGGTGTTATATGTAGTGATGATGGATGGTATTATATGTAGTGATGATGGATGATGTTATATGTAGTGATGATGGATGGTGTTATATGTAGTGATGATGGATGATGTTATATGTAGTGGTGATGGGTGTTGTTAAATGTAGTAATGATGGGTGGTGTTATATGTAGTGATGATGGGTGGTGTTATATGTAGTGATGATGGATGTTGTTATATGTAGTGATGATGGGTGGTGTTATATGTAGTGATGATGGATGGTGTTATATGTAGTGATGATGGATGGTGTTATATGTAGTGATGATGAATGATGTTATATGTAGTGATGATGGATGGTGTTATATGTAGTGATGATGGATGTTGTTATATGTAGTGATGATGGATGGTGTTATATATAATGATGATGGATGGTGTTATATGTAGTGATGATGGATGATGCTATATGTAGTGATGATGGATGTTGTTATATGTAGTGATGATGGGTGGTGTTATATGTAGTGATGATGGGTGGTGTTATATGTAGTGATGATGGATGTTGTTATATGTAGTGATGATGGATGGTGTTATATGTAGTGATGATGGATGGTGTTATATGTAGTGATGATGAATGATGTTATATGTAGTGATGATGGATGTTGTTATATGTAGTGATGATGGATGGTGTTATATGTAGTGATGATGGATGGTGTTATATGTAGTGATGATGAATGATGTTATATGTAGTGATGATGGATGATGTTATATGTGTATAGATATGTACATACCAAGATATGTGAACACGCCTGACGCCAAGACTCGGTTACCATTCATTGTACCATTTATTCACATGTCTGTATTACTACATATTATTATAGCATGTCTGATATCTATGCTTATGTCTAATGCCTATGTTCATTTACTATGTCCCGATGTACTATGTCTGTACCGCGCTAGTCGAGTAATTAGAAGACCCCATTTATTGTCCTAGGAATGTCTAGCAACTCCCCTTGCCCTGCTAGCTAATTTCCCTCAGATCGGCTTCGGCCTGCCTACGACGAGGAGTTCCTTGTGCTGGCTCCTGTTCCTGTACCGGTTGGCTATCACGCCAAGTCTTGTACCACTTGTTGACTATATCTACTGCTCGTGCCCTGGAGTTTCAAGAACCTTGTCTAGGATTACATCCACCACATGGCGCAGTTTGAGTAGCTCCAACACGACAGTTTACAAGCCTCAAGAGCCGGCCCCGTCTGTTTCCCGCCCAGAAGATATACTCCACAGTGCCCCTGGATTTACAGTGCTTTGTGACCTTGTGAAGTGCCCTAAGTGAAGTGCAGTGCCTTTTATGTCTCTTTGCTATGTTTCTGCGGCCCTACAGGTAGCAGACACGCCCTCAGCCCAGTTTCCAAGACAGCACTTCCGGCATACATCCTCCATCTACGCCGGCCCGCAGGCCACTGCCTGCGTCCTCCTCCCACTGAGCCAGCTCGCCCGCGCGCGGAGGAATACAAGCACCACCACCGCCGCCAGCCGCCTCCTCTCACTTCACAAATATTACAGTCAGTACTCTTTTACTTGCCCGCCAATTCCTGCACTTAAGCAAATCCATTGACGAAAACATAGCACTTCACCTTATTCTCCTTGTCTTCCCCATCGCAACCATACCAAACACGAGATGTCTGACCACGACGATCTGCCGGGAAATTTAGATGAGGATTATGAGGTAGACGAAGCCTCACAGACCCCCCCACCCCCCCTCACGCCTCACACGCCGGGCGCGCCAAATTCAAAGGATGGGAGCCAGGATATACGTCGGTTAATCCACTTCCTACAAGTTTCTCAAGAGAAGGAAGCCCAAAGACGTCAATTAGAGGAGGAAAAACGACGTCAAGAGGAATGGTCAAGACGTCAAGAGGAATTGTCAAGACAGTCAGAGGCATCAGCTTACCGCCTTCAACTTCAACAACAACACCAAGCTGATAACCACAAACTCCTGCGACTATTGGAATTGCTGGCAACGAGGACGACTTCACCAGCTGCCACAACCAATTCGCCAGCTTCAACCTCTTCATCTATCCTTCAGACAACGCCCCCTCACACGTCACCTATCCCCCTTGGGTATACCTCAGTGCCCTCTCAACCACCTGCTCCAGTCTCAACTCTCGTCGACCTCT